CAGACGCATCCGGAGGCCCCGCCCGACCTCTCCGCACAGGCCCAGCTCGAGACGGTCAGGAAACACTCGTCGTCCCGAAGAACCCGCGAGAAGAGCGGCGTCGTTTACCTGGTTCCGGAGCTGCTCGTGTCTGCCTTCATAGAGGGCGGCCGGACTCGGACGCGGTGTCCACGGCGGCTCTGCTCGCCGACACGCGCCGTTCCGGCGACAGTGCAGCAGCAGCCCTCGCCTGGTCCGCACGTGTGGTTAGCGACGCAGGCACGCCCGGCCGGCCGGCCGTCCCGGTTGCCGCGCATGGTCTCCCCGGGCACGGCCCCAGGGACCCTCTCGGGACAGCCTCTTGACGCCGGGGAAGGCGGTGCGGACTCTGCCGCTGCGTCCCTAAATTGTCCCCCCTCTGCTGCGTTGGCGTCCTCGCACCTGTCTCGCGCTTCGACCCGCTTTCACCCACGCGGCCCCACACCACCTCCGGGTGTCAGGTGAGTGAGGCGGGCCGGCCCCCCGGGGAGACACTCTTCACCGTGCCACGCCCAGAAACCCCGCCTGTGCCGCCAGCGCTCTCATCCGAACAGTCTCCACGCTCTTGGGAGGCGTCAGCCCGTGGGGGCGTACCGGTGTTGAGTCCTCGTCGCCACGGGAAACCCCAGTTCTACTGTTGGCCGCAGATACCGTTTTCAAGAAAATACCTGTCGGATACGTAAGACTGAGTAATTGCTGTTAAAGTCTGATGTCGTCGTCGTCCTTTCCAGTAAAAGCGGCCGAGCGAAGAGTGGCCGGTTTGGCTCACAACTCCAGACGGCGTGGAGGGGCCCCTCTCGGCAGGTGCCGTCAGCGCCCCCGCCCGCACCCCGGGGGCGTGGTGGCAGAAACTCTCTGCGGACCTTCCCGGTCACTGCCCAGGAAAGTGGAAAGGCACATACTCAAGGGCTGACATTTTTTTTAGAATATACTTTTGTGGGGAGGGGGTTCTTAAGAACACTGGGGGAGTGAAACCCCTCTGGTTCCTGTTCAGAGAGCGTGGCGATGAGTCCAGTCACGGCCAGAGCGGTGCCGCCCGGCACCCCTGCCGGGATGCGCCCCGAGGGGCCCGCGAGTGTAGTGCCCATCACTTCCACACCAGCGGAGCGAAGCTCAGCGCAGTGGGAAGGCGGACAGTGTCTTGAAATTGTTTTAAAGAGAGTATTGAACTTATGTTTATGGCGCCCCCCGCCCCCCACACACACACCCTCCCAGCGGGTGGGGTGTCCAGGATCGCAGGTTGAAGACGGCAGAGTTGGTGCGGAGAGGGGAAGCCCGATCGGTTGCCCCGGGTGGGGAGACCAAAGCAAATACCGGTGCGTCCCGAACTACACAGCTCAGGCCCGAACGGCACCCGCGACTGTAAGACGTTCAGGTCCCGACATTCGGGTGCAGGTGGAAGTCAGAATGCCCTGGGAGAACCTCATCGCCACAAAGACGGCCCTTCCTTCTCCCACCGCTGAATCACAGGAACGAGGCGTCCCGAGGCTGTTCGGGAGCGTGCGCGACCCCGGAGCCGTGCGGAGCGCCCCGCCTGTGCTCGAAGAGAGGACGCTTCCCGAGCGCGCCTGGCTCCGAGGGGCCGGTCGCTCCGTCTGGGCCTTTCTGGTCAGCCTTAGGACCTGGTCCCCGCTCGGGAAGGGCCCCCCCGCACACATGGAGTCCACCATCTGTCACCATGCAGCCATGGGAACGGGCGGGCGGGGGGCGTGCGGATCAGTACCATGGGGGTGTTTTTAGGGGCTGCTGATGGGGATCGCCATTTACTGAGAACCCTGCAGGCCGGCGCACGCGCAGGAGGCCCCGGGACCCCACCCCAGTGGTTTGGGGGAGAATGCCTGCAGTTCTGGTTTTTGGGTTTTTGTTTCTGGTTTTTTGTTTCGTTTTGTTAGCAGCTTCGCGAGGTATTTTGACGCGGACGTAGGGCCATCCCCTTGCTGGAGCTCGGTGTGACCCAGTTCACGGTCTCCGGTTCTGGTGACTCGGAACTGTGAGGTTTCAGGACAGCGGGGTGCGGCGGCCAGGGCCTCCCTGTCAGGGGCCCAGGCCCACGGAGGCCCTGCCGACCCCACGGCCGTCTCGGCGGCAGCCCCGCGGAAGGCGGCGGCCGGCCGAGCGCGGACGGGTCTCGGCCGAGCTCTCGCGCGCTCGCTTGCGAGCCGGTGTCTCTTCCCGCAGCTCATTTGCATCTGGGACATCAATTAGCATGTTTGTTGAGGCTAATTGAATGAAACTCAATCATAGCTCTTAATTGCTTGACTATGTGAAAAGAAATCACATTAATGCAGCTAATTAAGTGTACGGCAATAGATGCAACATAATTAGGAGCGGAATGCGGGAAAACAGGGGCTGGCGGAGGTGTGGAGCCGCGGCGGCGGGACGCGGCGCCGCCCACCCGGCCGGACCGCAGGGGCCCCTCCGCGCCGCCGGCGCGGCTTGGCGGGAGTAATCCGCGCGAGGAGCACGGCCAACTTGAGAAAAATGCAAATAGGTTTGCAATTACTACTTTTTCAAGCTGTCGAGGGGCAGGAGAGACCACCTCTGGGGGGGCCCGGCTCTTGAGTGGGCCCCGGGGACTTGTTAAGTGCTGTTTAAAAGTACTTGGCTTTGAATTACCCTCGCGCCTTGTTAAAGGGCTTTTCCCCTTTTATCTGCGATCAGCATTTTTCTGCCAGGACCGGGGAGAAGGGTAGTATCTGTCGCATTTGCATATCAAAATCAGGCTTGCTGTCTTTATTTTACCCAGGGAGGTCCCTGGCCCAGACCCACCGCGCTGCACAGCCCGCTTCTGAGGGGCTGCGCGGCTGCCCCCGCAGCTCCTCCCGCGCCAGCCCGGGCGAGGAGAGATGAGAAGGACGCGTCTTTCGCCTTTCAAAACTCGGGAGAGACTGCAAGCCGCGGGCTCGCGCCTGCCTGCCTGCCTGCCTGCCAGCCACCTGTTCCGGCAGTGCCGCCGGCGCGGGCTTTTGTGGCGCCAAACGTGCCTTCTGGAAAGTTTTTACAGATCATAGCGGCTTGAGATATAAAAGTGACCAAATGTATATATTTTGTTTGTTTTTTACAGCTAGTCCTTGCGAAGGTTCAGCACCTAGTAACTCAGGCGAGAGCGCCGATCCCCCGGCGGGGCCCGTGCTGAGCCGGAGACAGATGCGTCCCCTCGGCGCGAGCAGGCCCGGGGAGCAGGCGCTGGGCGGGTTTCTGCGGTGGTGGTGGATGGAGTGTCCTGGTTGCTGTGCGCGGAAACGGGCCTATTAAAAGAGCGCATGCTGCGGCTTAGTCACTCTCTGATTAGCCTCATTTTGGAGCCCATAAGCAATAAATGCTCAATTACACTCCTGTTATTGTATTTTAATTTGTTAAGAATTGGCAGAGGAGGAGAAAGTTGCAGCAAGTTGGTGTTTTTGCAGGAGTGACGAGACAGGGAGGCGTCCGTCACTTACGAGCCTGCACCGCGGGCTCTGGACTTGGCGTGCTTGTGGCGGGGGTTCAGGGAAGTGAGGGAGAGACGCCGAGAAACGGACGGCCTTCTTAAAGACCTTGACCTTAGGCCTGCGCTGAGCAAAGGCCACTGTGTCGTCTTGGCCGTGCCCTTCCTCCCCATCCCTGCCCCCGGAACTCAGCCGTGAGTCCGCCCGCGTCCCCTCCACTCCGCCTGGTCCCGCCGTCTGACTCAGTGGTGGTCGGTTTCTTCACATCTCCGCTCGGTGCCCTTTGGAAACCGCGGCTTTTTCCGTCGATTGTGTTCAGGGGAGTTTTCCAAGCCTCTTGATTTCCGTGTGGAGTCTCAGGTCTGTTCCCAGCCGGGTCCAGCCTCCCCTGCCCCACACCCGCAACTCGCCTCCAAGGTGGCCGTGGCTGGCCCCCTGCACAGGGGGGCCTGGGGGCGACCCTCCCTGAGCCACCCTGCCAGCCTGAGGTGGGGGGACATGGCTGACGCTGCTGGGGAAGGCTCAGCGTGCCCCTCCCTCTGAGAGCTCGGCGGAGCTGGCCTGCTCCGGGGGCCCCGTCTCCATTTGCCTTCTGCCCACGGTGCTGCAGTCTCCGGCCTCTGCCTTTAGAGCTGTTGTTCTGCACTAAGAATTGGCCGTTGGAGGTCTGTCCTTAAGAAGCCACCGGAGACCCAGGAGCGTGGCTTCTGCTGGGCCAGCGCGTGGTGAGCCTTCCAGGCTTCTGTAATCTCCATGGCAACGCCTCTTCCGACGTGGCCAGGCCCTGGCATGATTGAGGTTCCGGCCACCCTCCTCCCTCTGCGGAGAACCTGGCTACCCTCCCCCGAGTCTAGCCTGGTGCGTGGGCAGCCCCACCTCTAACTGCTTGGGTTGTGGGGTAGGTGGGTGGGGTCCTCTCTGGACCCTGATGCTGCCCCCCGACCACAGACGGCAGGCAGTGGGCAGCTCCCCCACGTACTCTGTCCTGTGGCCCCCACCTGGCTTCCTTCCTCCCCCCCAGCCCCTGTGTTGAAAGCTTATGCTTCGGGGTCCTTGTCGTATCAGCCCCTTCGGCCAACATCCTGGCTGTCCATAGCCCAGGGACCGCTTCACAGTCCCTCTGCCTGCCGGCATGCGGACGCTGTCCTGTGACTCAGAGCCCCCCCACCTCCCCCGCCTTCTTCCTGGGAGCCGCCGCGCCCTTCTCTCGGCTGCGCCCCTGAAGCATCCCTGAGACACCCCAGCCGACTTGTCGCCTCCCACAGGCTGGGGTCTCCATGGGGCTGCTAGAACTTACCGAGTTCTTTCTGCACTGGTCCTCTCGCTGGGGCCTGGGCTGGTGCTGGACGCGGAGGCTGGGCTCCGGCCACAGTGGAACAGTGGTGCTCGCTCGCTCGCCCCTGTGCCGCACAGGTCGAGGCCTCGCTGTTTCCAGGGCACCTGCCTGGTGGAAAGGGCGCGGGGTCGCAGCCCCCGGTGTCCCGTAGAGCGCCTGGCCCCGGGTGCCGGAAGGCCGCCTCTGTAACCTCTCTCGGGTGTTTGACCTTTGCGCAGGACTACATGCAGAACGTCCACGGCAAGGAGATCGACCTGCTGCGCACCACCGTGAAGGTCCCCGGGAAGAGGCCGCCCCGCGCCACGTCGGCCTGCGCGCCCATCTCCAGCCCCAAAGCCAACGGCCTGTCCAAGGACATGAGCACTTTGCACATCTCACCGAGTCCCGGTAAGCTCACGGCGGGCGCGCCCACGGGCCCCCTGCGCCAGCTGCGGCCGAGGGCGCTCTCCAGGCTGTGGGGTTCCTGGGAACGTTGACCCTTGTGTTGCAGGCGGAGGTTCAGAAGCCCCACCTCTTCCCTCTGACCCCTCCCCCCACACCGTGGGCTCTGGCGGCCAGCAAGCCCCCGCCGGTGCTCTGAGTCGCCGCCGCACAAAGCCAACCGCAAGGCGGCCCCTGAGCCGGCGGTTGCAGGTGTGGTGTCACCCCCGCGTGAGGGCGGAAGGGCCTTCGGAAAAACACAGCGGAACTGTGGGTGTCGCAATTTTGCGTTAACGAGCCTGTAGGGGCCAAGTGTGTGGAGGTGGAAAGGCCGTCTGGAGGAAGATGTAAAGGAAACTGGGCGCCTGTGTGAGGGTTAAGTTCTCTCGGCTTAGCGGTGCTGCTGGGGGTCATTCTCTGCCACAGCTTCAGCTTTCTTCCCTCTCCTTTTAGGGGAGAATTTGCTTTCTGATTCAGCACCAGAGGAAGTCAGTGTGCTCTCCTAATTCGAGGTACTGAGAAATCCCTGGTAGCTGCAGACCGCTGAGAAGTCGAGGTTCACCCTGCACCAAGAGCCTAGGCCCGTGATGACTTCCCGGCTGTCAGGCTCTGACCGTGGGGACGTGTCCCCGGGGGAGGTGTGAGCCACTGGGTCCTGCTGCGCTCACTCCGGCGCCTGCAGCTCGGGGACCCCCTGTGTGTGTGTGTGTGTCTGTCTCCAGCAAGAAGCCTTTTCTTCTGTCTCTGGAAGGCGCCGTGTTTCTTCTTTCTGGAATGTGGGGTGCTTTGAGGGGGAGTGGGGAGGCTGGCCCCACCGGGCTGAGGCGTGGGCAGCACTGAGTGGTGAAAGTGGGGCCACAAAAAGGAGCGAGACCTTGGGGTCCGTGAGCTGGGGTTCTGCTCCCCAGTGCCAAGAGGCGTCGGGCAGGTAACTGACCGTGCGTCACCTCTGGTCGGCCTGGCCGGCCGCACGTGTCACCGATGTGCCGGCAGATGAGGTGACGCGTGCAGGAGTGCCCAGAAACCCCTACAGGACGACGCAGGTGTCGGCGGTCATCACTCGTCAGAATGAACAGGGGCTTTCTGCTCGCAGAGCCAGCAGTCCGTTCCGGAGAGGGGGCGGGGTCGTTCGGCCTGGGCTCTGGCGACCTGCCGACCCGCCTCCGAAGAAGCTCGTGGCCTTTCCCTTCTCAGGATGGTGGCTAAGGCCGCGGGGTTAGAAGAGGCAGAAGAAGTGCCCAAGGAAACACTGTCTAAGCGAAGGCAGAGCTAATGTCTTTGCTACTTTGTATGTATGTATGTAAGTATATATGTATGTATGTGGAAATCCTCGCCGAGCACTTAGTTGGGGACAGGAATTGGGGGTGCTGTGGAGAACGGGTCTCTGAACTCCAGAACGGACAGACAGGCAGTCACATTATCCCCAGCTGCCCCCTCCCTCCTCCTGACCCATCTCGTCGCATCCGTCCATGTGTGTGTTCGAGCTGAGAAGCACGGATGGAGTGTTCACTGTGTGTGGGAACGGGAGCACAGGAGGTCACCCCGGTGTCCCACATCGCACGCTCCGGCGGGGCAGAGGGACGGGCAGACCAGTCAGAGCGGCAGCTCGAGGTCAGAGCGGCAGCTCGAGGTCAGAGCAGCAGCTCGAGGTCAGAGCCGCCTGGGCTTGGAGGTTGGAGCACTTCGGGGGAGCCAGTGCTGCGTGGTCACTGTGGGGGGCGTGGTCACTGTGGGGGCATGGTCACTGGCGGTGCAGAGAGGTGGCTCCTTGGCTTAAGCACGCAGGTGGCACCATCGGCCAGGGTCCAGGAAGGGCGGCCCTCCCCTCTGTTGTTCATAGAGAGTTTTCGAGTGCGAGAGGCTCTCCCGCAGCACAGTCAGTTAGGAGTTAACTGGTGCTGTTTTTAAGTGATGGGCTTTTCACTAAAAATAGACATTAGTGGTTTTTGTTATTTTAGAGCTATTTGCCGAAGAATTGACCTGGTGCTCACCCTGCTGCTGCCTCCCCGCTCCTCCGCATCCTGCGGCTCTGTGTGAGAGCTCTGCGTCACCCGAGGGTGGTCCGTGCTCTTCGGGCTGCTTTTCTTTTACGTGTTTTCTTCTCTGATGCTGTTGACGTGGACTGCTCCTCTGGGCCAGTCCTCCCGGCAACTTCCCATTCACGGAGACCTGCTGCTCGCGTGCACCTAGGTCTGTCTGTCTGGCACTTATTGTCTTAACGTCCGCAAGCAAAGTGGCTCGGTCAGTGGGCATGATCCATATTTCCAAATGAATTTCTAGAATGGTTTTGTAGACACTAGCCCTCCGTCCACGAAGGGAGTGCCCCTTTGGCCCCCCACCCCATATACTTGGCAGCACTGCTATCTAAGCATCATTTTCAGACTCGATGCTAATCCAGTAAGGAGTTAAAACTGCCTCCTGCTTTGTTCGTGTGGAGTTCTTCGACCAGAAGGGAGGTTGCGCGCCGCACGTGCTCACCGGTCGTCTGTGTCACTTGCGCTGTGGTCGCTCAGGCCGCCTTCACCCGGTTCCTGCTCTAGGGGCTCGTCTGTCCTCACTGAGGAGAGGGAGAGCTTCGTGTGTAAGGGGCCGCAGCCCTTCACGATGTGCTTTGTTTGCAGGCGTTTCCTCAGTTCCTGACTCGTTTGTTCGACCCTACGGTCTTGTTTTCAGGTAGAGATTCCCCCCCCCCACCCCCGTTTGGTTATATAGTGAAAGTATGTCTTTTACTTCTGTGGTTCCTGCTTTAGATATTTAGAAAGCCTTCAGTACTCTTGAAATCTGACCATAATTCATGTATAAGTATTTCTGAGTTTTACCATTTTATAAATGTTTTTTCTTTTTTGACATTTCCAACTTTTTGTTATGAAAATTTTCAAGCATACTGAAGAGTTGAAATAGTATCGTGAATAACTATATCATCTATATCTTTTAAAAAAAGTTTACTAATCCACCTTTGATTTGTTTGGGTCTGTTTTATGCTATAGGACGTCTAATAAAACTTAATTCAAATAGGTAACTAATTGCCCTTTCCTTGGGCTCGCTCTCCCTGTTGGTTCTGTTGGCCCCTGTACTGTACGGCGGACTCACCGCGTCACGCCGGCCGTGTTTCTGGGCCCAGGGGCCTGCTCCACGGCCCGCCAGGCCTGCCGCTGCTGCGCGTCCGACCCGATGGGCGTGCGCCGCTCTGTCCTGGGTCACGCCTTCGTGTGCACCTGGCGGCACCACACGGTTCGGCGTTGCCCCTTTACCCACCAGTTGTTCTCGGCTGTGGCCACGCTTCTGTTTTTCCGGCAAACTGCAGAGTTACCTGAAACCTTCTCCTTCCCCCTAAAAAGAACCCCATGTGCCCGCGACGCCCCTGCTGTGGCCCTGCCGGTCAGTGGTGGAGGGCCTCGGCTTTGCCGTAAGGACTTTCCTTCCCGTCACGGAACGCGGTTCCTTCCCGTTCTACTCGAGTTTATTTCCTGCCCCTTGGTAAGGGTGGACACTTCCCTTAGCTCCTGTAGCTGTCTCGTTACTACAGTGTGTCAGTGTATAGTTGTTGGTGACTTGTGACACGAGTTTGGGGGGGTGTATGTTAATCACATCACCTAATTGGTCAGAAATAAGCCAGCTCCTGATTGTCCTTTGTTTTGTATCGGCCGCCTTGCTGAGCCGCGGTTAGCTGGACTGGCCAGTCGGACTTCCCCTTGACTTTCAGCGCACGGTCAGCGTGCGTCCCCCGTGTCAGAGCTGTGGTGTGTGCCTGTGTGTCAGCCGTGTGCCCCGGCCCGACTTGGGCTCCGGAGACCCCGGGGGCGGGGCTTTGGGGGGGGATGACACTCGATGGGGGGCGGAGTTAAGATATAAGGGCATACAAGACCCCTGGAGCTGGCCGTGAGTGCGACAGGGACAGGGGGCGCCATCGGGCAGAAGGTCACTGGGGGAGGGGCTGCCGGTGTGCGGTGCTGGCGGGCCGGGTGGCCGGGACTGGAAGGGTGACTGCCTCTCCTACAAGGAAATGTTCGGGATCCGATGGGCTCACAGCCGGCCTAGGGCTGGGGGACAGGAGGGACACCCGGTGTCGAAGTAGGAAGTGGATCTTCACGATACTGGGCCGCCTCGAGTGCTGATGCCCGAGCCCGTCGGGTCAGGGGGTCACAGGTGAACCGGAGCCCAAGTGACGACGAAGCCCGAGGCGAGGCCAGCGCTCCGCCAGGCAGCTGTGGCTGCGGGCGGAGCAGCTGAGGGCACGTTCTGGTGCAGCTGGCCGGTGCATGCCCACCACCCACCACACCACTGGGAAAGTAGCCACGTTCCCAGGAAGGCGGAGCCTCCCGGTGTGGATGCCGAAGCCGGAAACAGGAGGATGTGGACCGGGACACTCGGAGCTGTGCACAGTCACAAGAGAAAACCAGCCAGATGCACGGAGAGGCCGCTCCGGGCTGCCCTGCCCGTGGACCCCCACACTGTCGTCGATCTTACCCGGCGGCCAGCGCGGGCCGCACACCGGCTCCAGCGCTGCAGAGAAACCCCTCCGCTGCCTGCGGAGCCCACACTCCCTTCCTCACAACTGTGGACGCACAACCAAGACGTTCCCGGAAACTGACAGTGAACATGCAAAGGACCGAGATGAACAAAAGGACAGCCATTCCTAGAAGGAAGATTGATACTTTGGCAAAAGAGAATTTAAAAGGAAATTATAACTACTACAATCAAAAGTTTAAGAGGTTAGTAACTGTCCATAAAATGTAACAATCAAAAGATGAACACCAAAGCGTTATTGAAAATTAAGAGGAGACTGCTGAACAGATCTCAGAGAGGTTAAACACTCCAAACAGCACGGCCAAAGACACCGTTGGTAGACAAAGACGCAACAGGAGAAACACGCTAGAGGTGAGGAAGGACACGCAGCTGTCGTCCCGTCTGGAGGCAGGTGTGGAGGCAGATGGGGGAGGAAGCTCCGGAAACAGAAAACCCTGGGA